GCCCGCCAAGCATTAGTCTTTTCATTCCGAGGGTAAATAGATTGTGCATTTTATTTTGAAAAAAACAAAAGTAACCCTTGGTTTAAGATAAAAAGCTATTTTTTCAAAGGGTACATCAATTAAAATGTAAATTGCTTGTCTTATTCCTAGTTAATATAAAAAATATAAAATAATCCTAATATAAAGACTATTTTACCCTTAAATATTTGGCTACGAGTCTTTTTTATTTTAAAGGCCAAGAAAGAGAAAACATTATTACCATCCAGAGTAAATTATGTGTAGATAAACATTATTTTCTCCTCCTTTTTAGTTTTAATTTTAATCTAACTCAAATTTCTTACTCCAAGCTCCTTCACTCCTTATTTGCCAGCTCTTACAGCACAAACAGTCTTGTACCGGCTCATTGTTTAGGATTGAATTATTTTTATGGCGAATATATCAATAGAATATATAGTTCTCATTAAAATAGGTCATGCCAACAAATTAAATATGAAATTTTATTTTTTATTTTATTTTTTGAACTAATCTTCTTGCATTTAAATTAAATATACTTCCTATCAACCATATTCAAGTCATATTTTTATTTACTTTTTTTTTAAAAAAAAGTTAATAGTGGCACTTGGTGGCTTTATAAACCCTAGAAATAATAATGGTGATTTTCTCTTGTTAACTTTAGAAAATGAAACGTAATTTTGTTTTCTAAAAGTATTATATGGCCAACCAAATATAAAATTTTAATAATCATGAAAATTTGCTTAATTTCTTGCGTATCAGATTTTTTAAATTAAGAATGCTATGAAAATAAAATAAAATTTTGAGAACTAAATAAATACCACATAATTAATATTGCCTTCCTAGCCTTCATTTTTAGGAGAGGCATGTCAATGCAATATTAGATAATTTCTAGTCACATTTTAAAAAAATTAAAAAAAAAATCAAGTGAAATATTTTACTAGAGTGGATAATTACCGAAAAAACACATTAAACATTCTACCATACAGAAAACCCATTAAAATATTTGTATATATATAAATGTCAAAGTAATTTTTTTTTAATATAAAAACACCCTGCTAATTAACTAACTTTCCACTTAACTCTTAAATAATTATTTTTTGGATTACAAGGAAAATGAGTCGAGCCAATTAGTATCATTATTGATTCATTTAAAATTAAATATAATCTAATATATTAATAAAGTGTTGGTTTCAAACCAAGCAGTAAATTATTCAAACTTAAAACAAAAACATATATTTTTCTGCACTTCACATACTGTACTTCTTAATATCAATTTAATTTAATGTTTAATACTCTGTGTGTGTGTGTGTGTTGTGTCACTTTTTCTGCAAGCATTTTTTATTTTTTATTTTATTTTTCCAAACCTAGAGTGATGACACGCGCACACGAAGGTTTGCCTAAATTGACACTTGCACACCTTTAGCTCTCCGAATTATAATTACATCCCTAGAACATTAGCTGCTGCCGATTTGTTAGTTGATTGGAGTGAATGACAAGATGACGAAAATACCCCTGGAGGATGGCGAGTCATTCTCTCACGTGTCTCTTTCTTCTGTCTCGCTGTCACCATCAATTTTGGAAAATAAGAAATAATATCTCTCTCAATATATGGCACGATAATCAGAGAAAATAAGAGATTCAATTTTATCTTAATGTCACCTTAAAATTTCAGATTCCATGGTTTAATGGTAATTAAATGCTTGTTCATGTATTAATAAAGGTGAATATTTTTTATTTGATTTTTATAAAAAAATAATTAAATTAAAATTAAAACAATCAAAACCAAATTTAAACCGATTCAAATTTATCAATTTTGGTTCAATTTGGTTTTAAAATAAAAAATTAATTTAAATTAATTTGATTTATTTTTTTTTATTTGACTTGATTTTTAAAATTTTTGATTTAGGTTTAGTTTAGTTTTTTTTTTCAAGTTTCTAAAACCAAACATGTTTGACTTGATTTTTAAAATTTTTGGATTTAGGTTTAGTTTAGTTTTTTTTTTTTCAAGTTTCTAAAACCAAACATATCAATTTTTTAAAAAATTTTAATTGGTTTAATTAGTATTTTTTTAGGGTTTATTTTTTTAATTATTTTTTTTAAATTTTCTTAGTTTAACCAATTTTTTAATTTTTTATCCACTCCTACGTGTCAGACAGAAATCTTAGATTTCGTTAGGACAAGATCGCGGTACTCAAATTACACTACAAGAAGGGTTTTTACTGTTCCTTTGTCCTTTTTCTTTTCTTCCACAATTTTTTTTTTTGGCCCCTTAATTTTCTAGGCCTTCTGCAATTGTTTGTATTGGTCCCTTAATTTTTCTTTTAATTTCACCTTCCCGTTTGCATAGTTTAAAACTTGCCAATTGATTTCAGTTTGTGTGGTACATTATGTGTACGGTGTAAAAAAAATCCTGATGTTAGATTGGTGTGTAATTTTATTAAATGCGAATTAAATCTTTTAGTTCATAAAAATTAAAATAAAAAGCATCAGATTTAACATAGAAACAAGAAGCATTTTTTTCTTTTTACTATTCATGGACATGAAAGAGTACTATAACCCCTAAATTTTTTAATTTAAGTGTTTTGGGAGTTTCATGTTTTAATCATGATCTTCATTTGCCTTACAGTTCAATCACTTAAATTTGAGAGGAGAAAGGAAGTAATCAAAATCATAAGAGAGAATAGAGAAAATGGTTGAATGACCTCATTTCACGAGAAAATCGATCTTAGTGTTACTGGTTCCTATTGATGAGAATGGTGCAATTGAGTTGTTTTAGAGTTCCCATTAAGAAATAAATTTTTTTATTCAATTTAATTTTGTATTTCTAAATCATTTAGAGGTGTTTTAGGACTAAAAATTGATTTATTAAGCCTTTTAAGGTGTTCATAAGGTGAAAATAAGTTAAGATTTTGTTTCTTAGATAAAAATACCATGTCTCCAATGGCTGAAAATTAAGCTATTAGATAATGTGTAAAATGCCACTACAAATAACATATTTGCTTATTTTTTAAAATAAAAGAACAAAGTGTAAAGGAGTCAGGCACATGAGCCTGCCTTTATAGGCCAATGAACACAAGGTCTTGTTGGGTGGGCAAGGCGTGCGAGCCTAATCTTTTTGGGTTAGTCATTTGATCTCTTTCTATAATTTTTTTAAATTATTTTCTTTTTATAGTTTTATTTAAATATGCTATAAATAAAATACTTAAAATGATATTTAAATTATTATTAAATTTTATATTATTCTTTAATTAATATTATAGGTTTTTATGAGAATGTTAAAACTTTATCTTTAAATTATCGTATGCCTAACATGCAGATATATATATATATATATTCTTAATTTTTATTGTAAATTTTGTATATAAACCTTTTAAATTTAATATTCTCATATTTTTTTTTCATATAGTTGTATAAAGATGATTAATTAATAATTATTTTTTTATTTTTTATTTGAAACTTGTTTTCATGGTCATAATTAGTTTTTTCTTTTAAAAAAACAATGCTTTTCATAAAACATTGTTTTCATCAAAATAAAAAAGAAATGCATTAACATAAAAATTGGGTTTTTGATTAATTTTTTAGCTCAAATAGTTATCAAAAATTATTTTTTTCATGATTATTATTGCTTTTCATTTAATGAATTATGTTGCTGATAAAAACACTTGTTTTATTGTCAAAACATAATAAAATTTCATGAATTAAAAAAGATAATTTTAATTTAAGAAGTGCATTTCTCCATTATAATTTCATCTATTATATTTTTTAAGAACTTTTTTATTAATATGTAATTAAATAAAACATTAATTTAAAACCAGGTTGGGCCATGATTTATGTCAATCCAAGATATTTTATCTTTTAAAATTTAAAAATTATTAAGATAATATTGTCTTGAAAAGATTTTTAAAATCAAACTTAGTTTTGAACAATTTAATCGAGGTATATATCAAATTATCAAGTTGTTAAAGTTATTTCAAGTCAATTCTTATATATTTTAGACTCTGTTTGTTTCATGGAAAGTAGTTTTTTTTTAAAAATAAATTTTGAAAAAGTAAATTATTTTATAATAATTGACAGTGTAATGAAAAATAAGTTGAAAAATATTTTCCAGCGTTTAGTTATATCATAGAAAATAAAATGAAAAATAAATTATTAATATTTTATTTTTCTCAAGTTTATTAAAATAATAAGGAACAAATCTTACAAATTAAAAAGTTGAATGAGAATGAAATTTAAAAAATATAATTTTATAAATTATCTCAAATAAAATAAATAATAATCAAAATAATAAAGATCAAATATAAAATAAATAAAAGATGAAGAAATTAAAATAATAATAATAATAATTAATATTTCATAAATTATTTCAAAAAAATAAGTAACAATAAAAAAATAGGAATCAAATTTGATTGATAAAAATTTTCAATAAAAAAATAATAAGAAAAAAACAAATAAGAATTATAAAAATGATTACCAAAGTTAATATAAAAATTAAATTTTAAAAGATGAAATTAAAAAATAAATATTCAAAACAGAATATATATAACAATAAAAAATTTATAGATCAAATTTAATATAATCAGCAAATAATATAATATTTTAAAATTTTTCATAACTTTCAGAAAGTGTTTTTCATTTAAATTTTTCAAAAAAATATTTTTCTTAAAACTAAATTATTTTTTTTTATTTAAATTTTTTTTTATTGATCAATTCTTTTAATGATAAAAAATTACAAAAAAAATTAAAAAATAATTTTTCAAAAACTATTTTTGAAAAAACAAATACAACCTTAATAAAACTTAATATATTTTAGAGTGGAGCCAGCCAGCCAGCCAGCCAGGTTTCGTAACTAGTTGCAAGAAACCAAAAACGTATTCATCAGGTAACAAATCAGTTGTATAATGATCTGCTTAACAAGAAAGCTTAACCACACATATGCTAATGATCTGCTTCAAGTCAGTACATGAGAAAGACATAAATCGGACCACACCGCTTCACAAAAAGACAAGGAAGCTGAAACATGGACAAATCCGAACATTGAAAAGACAAAAACAACATTGCTTGCAGCCGAGGCTATCCTTCGTGGACAAAATGGCACTTCTTAATGCAAGCAAAGTTGACTGGCTGTGAGGAATTCGAGAGTAGCTAATTAATTAAAGAAAGTGCGAGCAACAAAAACTGTATTGAAGCATTATTAGTTGAAAAGTATCAAATCCCATACCGCTGCCATTCCAGTTAGCATAGATCTGCGTCTATAGCAGCTGAGGTTGCATGTTTGCTCTTGCCAAATTATAAAATGTAACTAACCATTCCTTGGACCCCTTGCCTTTCTCTAAGATTACAGTAAAAATATAACTAATTCAGAAAAAAAATTGGCCCATTACTTGTTCTACGTTGGCATTCAAGCTATTTATTTGAACTGAAACATGCCACCTCATAATTATGTGAGGATTGAAAAAACTTCGTGATGATGCAAGAAACATCCCTGTCGGAGGACAAATCCAAGAAGGAAACTCAGATAAATGTACCCCTTTCATCAGTGGATGAACAAAAATGAGCATCCTGCTTGTGCTGTCGGTTCTGGACACAATCTGATGTTGTTGATATTATCATGTATGATGTCAGCTGTGGGCATCAAATGTGTAACTTCGGCATCTGATACTTGCAACAATGCAGCATGAAGTCAATACAATTACCTGCAGAAAGAATTGCTTGTGAAAAACCAAGAATCGGTAAAACCGCATACTCAGCTCAGCAGCTAGACATTTTGATTAGTTTTTATCTTTGGTACTAATCCAGGGAAGATGAAATCAAGGGAACAGAACCAAGAAAAAAGAATATAGGAACACACAATACTATCCTTTACATTCCTTATAGTCTCCAATTATCACTAGGGAGAAAATGCATTTGGATGTCCAGAAAGAAGTATAATTATGCAAAGGTTTTTCCTTCCCAAACTGGTATTGCATAGAAAAGTTACATTTGCATTCAATTAATTTCAGAATTAACAGATAAGAACATACTGCTGCAAGGAGCAAGTGTGGCTCCGTTAAGGAAGTTAGGAAGTAAGGAATTACATGTAACTCATCCACCCAGTGAATTGATCACTGCTATGCCATCAAGCAGTTGCCAGGTTAGCCACAATAGCCTGTCCCTCGGAACCAAAAAAAAAACCACCTGATATTATTACCAAGATCTTGCAGCATGTTGAGATTTTGCTGTTTCCCTCAAAACAGCCCCCACTATCGCCGCCTGCTCAAGACATTCGGCCTTATGCAGTGCATCCAAAAGTGCAACACAAGTCTTGGTATGAATACTGCAACCCTTCAACCGAGTTTCCTCAAAAAGTTGATACGCGTCCAGTGCCCTATTTGCGATGCTCAGCCCTTCTATCATAGCATTATAACTAGCAGAATCAGGAATTCCCCCACTTGCCCTAAATCTCTCAAATAGATTACTTGCCTGTGCAACATTTCCAGACTTTGCAAGTCCAGAGATCATGGCAGTGTAGGTGATGGTATTGGGTTTTAACCCTTGCTTTTGCATCTCTTGCCAAAACACAAAGGCCTTGTTAAATTTCCTAACCTTACAGAGGCCATTTATGAGAATGCAATAAGTTATCTGATTCGGAGTGCATTTCAAGTCTTTCATGGACTGAAAGCAGACAAGGGCCTCATTAATTTCCTCGGCTTTCACCAATCCATCCAGCAAGCAATTCCATGTGTATACATTGGGCGTTAAACCTTTCTGCATCATTTCTTCCATAACTAGATATGCTTCATCAACTCTACCAACTTTTCCAAAACCATCAATAAGACTACTATAGATCACATGATTTAACTCTATGCCATTTGACTTTGCTTCCTCAAAGAGCATGTATGCTTCATCAAGTCTATCAATTTTAGCGAGGCCATCCACGACAGAACCATAGGTCACAACAGTTGGATGGTGGCCCATTGTCTTCATTTCCTCCAGTAGCTGATAAGCTTTGTTCACCTTACCTGACTTGCAGAACCCATCAATAACAGTGTTGTATGCACGGGTGTCCAAAACACAGCCTTGGTCCTTCATTGCATAATATAACTCGTAGGTTTCCCGTGCGAAACCAGCTTTCACAAGGCTATGGATTAGGATCGAATAGCTTCTTGTATCAGGAAGAAACCCTCGAGCCTTTATTTCCTCAAACAAAGCCCTGCCTTTCTCAGTTTCACCAGCCTTGAAAACACAATCCATGTAGGTATTCAAGAGCATGAGGTCAGGAGAACATCCACTACGCAGCATTTCTTTGTACATCTTGTGACCATCCTCCTTCCTGTCACACTTGAAGAAATTTCTGATGAGGGATGTATAAACAACAACATTTGGAATTTGATCAGCATCCAGCATCCGTTCATAAATCCTGTAAGCATCATCCACTCTACCTTGCTTGCCCAAACCATCTATAAGCGAACAGAATGTAGCACCATCTGGGGAGCAAACTTTATGATCCATTCCTTCAAATATTGAACAAGCTTCATCAAGCTTTTGAGCTTTACACAGCCTATCGATCATTATGTTTATGGTTCTGACATTAGGAAACAAGCCAGCCTCTTTCATGGCATCCCGAACCTTGAAAGCAGCCTCGACATTTCCAGCCTTGCAAAGCATGCCTATTATAATGTTATATGTTGGAAGATTGGGCATCGCATCTCTCTTCATCTCCTCAAAAATTCTTAATGCCTTGTCTGTCTTTCCCTTCTTCCCAAGGCAAGTAAGAATGCAATTATACGCAACCACACTTGGAATGCACCCTTTTGCCCTTTGCCTCTCAAGCAAACTGTATGCCTCGTCAAACTTTCCAGCTGATCCATAACCCATAATCATGGTATTGTAAGCATACGCACATGGAACTTGTCTGTTTTGCTCCATCTGCTCAAATATCTCCACAGCCTCATCAAGTCTGTTGGCTTTGCATAGAACACCCATCATACTTGTATAAGTCACATCATCAGGCACTAAACCATTTGCCTTCATCTCATGAAAAAATTTCCAAGCCATATCCACCTTTCCCACCTTACCAAAGCAGTCTATGCAAACATTATAAAGAACAACATCAGCATCAAAAGTGTTGCTCTTCATTTCATCCAGTAGGGAAAGAGCAGCATCAACACGACCCTCCCTGGAAAACACACGAATTAGAGTTGTAAGCAAATGCACATTCACTTCATAACCCAGCTCTTGCATTTGATGAAAAAGAGCAAGCATGCGATCAGATTCACCTATTTCAGACAAAGCACCAATCAAAGTTGTATAAGCAGAAAACGCTGGGCGAAATTTAAAATGCCTCATCATTTGCAGGAGATCAAAAGCTTCTATAAGCTTCCGTGATTTAACACAGCTCGCAACTAACTCCACGCAAGTGTAATTAGCAGGGCCAAATCCTGCAATACTCATCTCTCCCAGAATCTGCTCTAAGTAATCAAAATTCCTAGTTCTAACCATCACCATAAGAAGTGCATTATAAGCTTCCGGACTAAGTGGTTCCTCACTTTTCCTCTCGACCCAACGGAAATAATTCACTGCTTGATTAACATCTTTCAACCTCCGTAACACTCCAATAACCAACTCAGGTTGAGGCTTTTCATTAAACATTGACAAAGAATTCTCAAGCGCTGGTCCCCAAGAACCACTTTCCAAAACACGGCACACGTCATCTACTCTCTGTCTCACACCATCAAAATTCCTCGAGTTTTCTTGATTGACCCCTTCATTACAGAGATGAGATTTCCCACCCAAATCTGAAGGAGAACCATTAGAAAATGAAGCCAACTTCCTTGAATTGATTAAAATGTACCAACACTTTGAATTGTAGCTCAATACTATTCCTGCAGCACCAAAATGACAGTAAAAAAAGAAAAATAAAAGCATGAGATAACAATCCATTTTTGTAGCAAAATCTAAGAACAAGATAGGGTTCAAATTAAATACAAATATCTCATTTATGTAGAAAACTCCAAGAACAAGATAGAATTCAAATCAAATAAAAAATCCCCATTTTTGCAACCTTTCCATAGAAAACTTTACCAGGTTTCCTCAACAGCATCTTCACCTGTGTGCAATCGCTACGCTGTTTTATCTTGCAGATCAATCTTCATAACAATCCATGCTTCAAGGAGATAAATAAAAGTAAAAAATAAATTGACCCTAAGAGGTTTTAGGGTTTAAGAGAGTGTTTATCAATGCCAAAGAAACTAGGAACCTACAACAATAATTGAACTTAACTACAAATCAGTACCTCATCTTCCAAATCTATTCATATCCTCACAAAATGTACGGCCCAGTACCAGATTCTTTATATATATATATATATATATATATATATATATATATAGAGAGAGA